TCCTGGCAGCGATCATCTCTTGATCGCAGCACTGGCCGTGAAACGCGGGTGCATGGTGCAAATATTTAATTCTGTAATGTATAAGTTAATTGGATGGTAAAAGTCAATTGCATTAACTGGGAGTCACCAGTACAAACATGAATAGGCAAACATACCACCATGAAACACTCGTTCAAGCAAAAACGCTTGGGCTTTGGAAGTAGTAACGTAAATGGCAGTTCTCACCAAACTATCAGGTAAACAATCTCCTACAACAACAATTCAGCAAACATCACTGCGCTGACCAAAAAACGCCTACACCATATCCAAACATCCCATCCAGCACCCTTCCCACGCTATGCACTCACTTCTTCCCCCATGGATGACCCATTTCCCAGCTGTCTACCTTCAACAGACCCACTCTGCAGGTTTGGAATCTTGGAGATGGTTTCATCCTGATCCACAAAGCTCGGGCAGCTGGTGATCTTGAGAGTCGTGAGGCTGGTGAGGCTTGTCATGGACTTGGGCAAGGAGACCAGGTTGGGCCAAGAGCTTAGAGTCAACCGCTGCAGCTGTGAAAGATTCTTGATTCTATCTGGAAGCGAATTCAGCTTGGAAAGGCCAGACAAGGAGAGCGTTCATAGATTTGAGAGCCTGCATAGAGATATCATGAATGCTTCTTCATCCTCTCTTCCGGCCCTGAAGTTGGCTGGCCAACAAAACTCAAGAGCTGTGAGGCTGGCCCAAAGCCGAGGCAGGTATGGCCAGAATCCGTCAATTCTGTCACAGTGGTTCAAGGAGAAGTTGCGGAGATTGGAGAGCTCGGTACAGGAATCCGGAATGCGAGCAATTGTGAGTTGGCTCAGCTCAAGATGCTCCAGAGATGGCAGGCGATTCATGCTCAATGGAATGTCTGTCAGCCTTGGACAGTTTCTGATGACGAGCACACGGAGGCTGGTAATACTGCAGAGGGAGTCAGGAAACGAAGTAAATTGCCGGCAGTTCCTGATGGCCAGAGTCGTGAGAGAAACGAGGCCTGACAGTGTGCTTGGAAGCGACCAAAAGCCGTCACATTTCACAAGCTCAAGAACTCGGAGGGAAGTCAGCTGGAAAAAGGAAGCTGGGAGTTTGGAAAGGACGGAGTTGGTGTTGAAGTGAAACTCCTGGAGGTTCTGGAGCTGGCCGATGGCGTCAGGAAGAGCCTCTAACACCTCCATTTCAATAAGGCTGAGTCGGATTAGTGAATCAACGTGACACCAGGAATCCGGTAGTTGACTAAAAGAAGACGAATGACTTATCTCTAGATCAGTCAGTCCGGTGAGCCGGCCAAAAGAGTCCGGAAGGGCGTAATTCCACGAAGTAGCGAAGGTTAGCTTAGTCAGGAATCTTAGGTTGTCGAACATATCAGGAAGCCCATCGAAATTTACGCGCAAATAAACCTCCGTCAAGGATGAAAGGTTTAAGGAGGGTGGCAAATCACAAGTGTCGTCATCGTAGGCTGTCATCATGTACAGGGAGAGGTATTGCAACGCAGTGCACGCCGTGAAGAGGGCATCTGCACCTTCATACGTCAAACCTTTCTCAAAACCGTTGTTCAGGTCAAGACGAGTCAAGTTGGGACAGACAGATCCTAGGCCACAGATGAACTCGTCATTAGCTGGATCGATAACACACTTGTTGATCGTCAGAGAAGTCAATCCTTCGAAGCGGGAAAGAGTGTTTAAAAGGCCAGCATCTACAGTAACGCGAGGCGTACTATTGGCGATGGACGTTTGTGCAAGGTAAGCGAGGCGATTCCAACGTTTACAGACCAACGCATGATTGAAGTAGCTGGGTGAATGCTTGTTCAGACAACGGAAGATGAGGCAGATGGGGTCGTCCGGAAGCTGATTAAACGACGCTTGCAACATGTCTCTACTTCGATGCGATACCAGGCTTGGCGACGATAGATTTCTACAATCTACGATCTCTATTCCACAGAATCTACAGTCGGAAAAAAGGAAACAAACGCAGGATCTACAGTACAGAGGTGGACTTGCGTGAATGGTGTCGGCTGAGTGCTCTTGTACATAGGAGAGCAATCCTGTCTGGACCTGCTCAGGAGAGAACGTATTTACCGGCTCAGCAAGAAGGCGTTGGAGCAGATGGGCTTTGACACGGCTTTCTTTGGTGCTGCGACGTGCATGTTATCCTCGTAACAAGCTCACGGTTCGCGTCATGAGGAAGCGTCAACGGTAGGTCGACACGTGGAGCGCGGCAACTAATTTCGTCAACTCCAAACCTCTTACATCGCAATCAGTTACCATGTCGTTCCCCGGCTCAGTTCCAACTATCGCGTCAGTTCACAAGGTACGTCCCTAAGCTGTAAACGAGCCCTCGATTGCTTCCTGACTGGCGTGGCGAAATCCATCCAGTCTTGGGGCTGCCTATCAAGGTGCAAAACCAAACTCAGTAACAAATTGGACGAAATCGTCGTCGTCGAAACTGCCATTGTTCCACTTCGACCTGAAATCCTCACCCATCCCTCTGCCTGGTTTTCCTTGCCCCACCCTAGCAGCTGTTTCATTCCCACCTAGTGTGACTGCCACTGCTCAATGTCCGAGAAGATAATGGCGGACGTGAATCATGGTCATGCTCGGACGTGGTTACCTGATCAGGTGCAGGCTTTATTCACGTCCGCCGTTGCTAAGCCCCCGTTGTTCCTGAAATCTCAACCTACTATCTCTGCTAGAGAGCCTAGCCGATTCGGCAGATCTACCCGTCTTTTTTTTTTTTTTTCTTAGGTTGTCGCCTCCAGTAGGCGTTCTTCTTAGCGTCTCCGCAATTTTGGTAATGAGTCTTGGTTCGAATAACCCGGTTAGGAATTACGGTTCGGATAACGGGGTTATAAATCCGGGTTAGCTATCCCAGCTGGTGTGCCTTTTCCCTCACCTTTTTCTCCCCCTCCGCCGCTCCCTCCCCCGCTCCCGCCCCCCGCCTCTCCACTTCCTCCCCGCTTACGCTTTCCTGTCCCCCTCTTCCCCTCGGTTCCGCCGTCCAGGTGACGCCTTGGTGATTCTTACCAGTGCCAGGGCCCCTTCATCTCGTACGTGCTCGGCATTGCCACGTCATTCAGCCACTATGTGACGTGTCAAGCTGCCACTTGCAACCCTCAAGTCCCGGTGGTTTGACTGTACCTCCTCTAAACGAGATTCTCATTTCTGGTGTAAGCTGTGTGTATGTGTATTGCTGAGCCGAACATTTGTGCTAATGCCTTTGTGATTGTAAACAAAATGACTCACCTATGCCAGCAGTGGCGTGTTTTTCTATATGTTGATCCTGAACCTGAAACAGTCTTGAATCAGACTGAAGTACGGTCAACCACCCACGTCTCTCCCCGGCTTCCCTGCCGCATCTGTCAGCAACGATCCACACCCCCTCTCCGCCCCGCAACATAGCAACAGGTCAGACGCCCCTGTCATTCAAGGCCCCACAGCACCACTTTCAACCGCCGCACATCCAGCAATACGCCCACTTTCCGCGTCCGTTTGTTTCTCATATCATATGCTCTTTCCTTTTCTTTCCAGCGCACATAATTCCATCTCCTCCCATCTTCTGTTTCCTTCTTCTCCATGCATCATATAAAAAGCTCCTGGCTGTTGGATTGAAGCGCCTTGGGCGCCATACAAGTGTGGATATACAGTAGTAATTGCTCTCTTCCCGTTTCCCTCCCCTTATCTCCTCCGCCCCACTTTCTCCCGTTCCACCCATGTTTCCCCTATCTGCTCCCATCAAACAATCGTTTCTGAGCCCGCAGCTGTCAATCAGCACGAGTTCCTCTAGAGGCAGTGCCGCCACTGCAGTGACCACAAGGCGACAGCATGTGGTGCATGATGGACCAGCAGCGTCACTTGGCTTGAGGCGCATCCGATGGTTCATTCTTCCTTTTCATCGTGTTGCGTTGCCTTCATATGCCCAGCCCACCACACTGTACACCGTTTCACCCCTCCACTCTCTTGTCATCACGTGGTACATCATGACGGTGAGGCATGGGCCTGTAGCCTGTGTGTGTGGCCTGGGCAGAGTGTTGGATTGGATATTTGTGAGGGCAGTCAGCGTGGATGCAGCGCAGCAGCAGCGTGGCAGCATGTGTCAAGAGCATGTGCAACAGGCATTGGAGCAGGCAGCAGATCAGCAGGTGGAGCAGGTTCACTTATGCGGAGGGGCTCATGAGGGTCTGCTGGGGAGATACGGTACTTATATCGATGCAACAGTGCAGGTTAGAATTGTTTTTGTTTTTCAAAGACGCAAGTGGAACATCTACGGTATACTCTGGATGAGAGCCACATGCAGCTGAGATGCAGGATAGCAATTATGGTAAGTACGGTATATGCACTGAGACCAGACCACCATATGTCAACCATAAGGCATACCATACCAATGGGTGATATGGACATTACAAAGTACAATTTCAATGCCTGCTGTTCATGATGGCAAGATACCTACCAAACTATATCAAAGCGGCCCAATCTCTGAACCCTACCAACAACCCTGCAAACATTCCAACACCCTCCTCCCCACCCTATGACTCAGGGTACATTCTTGCGGGGACATTTGTGTCTCAATCACTTTGTGACATCTAAAAACTGCATATACCGTGCCCTGTCACAAACGCGGATCGCGCTAATGCGATTCTTACTGTATTTTACATTGGTTGGCATGAATTGCGCGGGTGTCGCGGACGAGTTACACGAGGCCCCGTCACCTCCCGAAAATCACACGCGTGTCGAAATCTCACACTGTACAGCATGCACCTGGACGCCTGAATTGGGCACGTTTCCGCGCGGGAAAGGAAACCGCTCTGTCCGGGCTGACATCTGACTGATCCTTCAGCCCACACGGTCACATCCCTGCCCGACTGTGGCCACCGTTCCAACCACGCTGACAGCACTCTCCCGCTCCAATCTATTCTTCTTCTCCAAACCCCAGCTCTCTCTTTCTTGTTGCGAAGTCTAGCCACCATCTTCTTCCACGCCGTAGCCATGGCCCGTAAGCGCAAAAGCGTAGCTAGTACTGCTGACTTGTGCCCGCAGGATCTCAACGAGATTTCGTACATCGCCTGGATGAACAAGCAGATCGCGGCCGGCCGCAAGCCCGCCGGCCCTTTGCAAGAAGGAGCGCCTGGTGCGGGGGACACCTCGTTCGAAGCCCCGCGCGATATCCCAACCTGCGGACGCCGTCATGCCGACCGGGTTGCCTCATCCCGCGTCAACGACGATGCTGCCTTCGATGACGACGATGACGCCGCAGACTCTGATTACAATGAGTGCGACGAGGCCTGCGACGACGACGCGGACTCTGGCGAGGAGGAGGACAAGGGCATGTCCCCTTCAGAGGATGAAGCTGACGTCGATGAGGACACCAATGACGACGATGACGCTCCCGAGGAGGGCCAGCCTGCGACCCCGGCTCCCCGTCGCGGCCGTGCCTCTGCAGCTGCGGGAACCAAGACTGCTGCGAAGGGCGGGGAACCTCTGCGTGCCGCTGCCAAGACCCGCAACCTGCATCCTGTTAAGCGGAGCGTGTGGTCCCCCCGCAAGAACACGATCTTCGTGGCTGCACGTTGGTTCATGAAGGACGAGCTCGGACCCCTCCTCGGGAAGCAGGGCTCTCAGTACTGGGCCTGCCTCGCGCTCCACCTCGAGCAGGAGAATTCCGGGTGGGTGCGCGGCTTGAACGCGCTTCAGAAGCAGTGGCGCAATCTTGTCAACATGTACAAGCAGATCAAGAAGGGGGAAAAGGCGAGTGGAAAGGGTGCCGTGTGCAAGCCCCACTGGTACCCGTACATGGCTCTCTTCCAGAACAACAAGGCGGTGGGCAACCCTCACGCCGTCGACGGTGGAGGTGCGGCACACGTCAACGTGACGTGCGGGTTCGTGGTCCCGTCCACTTCGGCGCCCTGCACCTCTACGCCGACATTCACTGGTACGTTTCCATGGCATCAACAGTTGTACTCGTGATTTAAGTGAATGACACATCGTGCAAAGACCATTGTGGGTTTTTTCCTTCACATATATGGTTGAATACATAGCACATGTACTAATGCTCGCGTACGGCGACCGTGTGTGCAGCTCCACCTCCGTAGGGTACTCCTACATCGAAGCGCCCACGTGTGGCAGAGACAGCAACGATGGCCGCTGCCAAGCTGGTGTGCGAGACAATCAAAGGCTGCCACTCAGACGCCATGAGCAGGCTCAAAGGCCTCGTCCGCGCGTGGATGGAGCAGGACGCGCGTATTGCTCGCGAACACGTGCATCAGCCCGCCCCCTCCCCGCCGGCCCGCGACGACATCCCTGTCGACGCGGACAACATGACCGCAACGCACGCCGCCGAAGGCGGCGACGACGGTTGGCTCCGTCGCGGGCAGGCGGGCGACCACGCATCTAACCCTGACGAGGGTGAGGAGGTGTGGGCTCACGGCGCCGCTGAGTGAGGTAAGACGACTCTAGAGCCTCGCCCAGCCGCTTGCGCCTTTCACACAGATTCTCTTGCGTGCACGGGTCACATGGCTCCCACTTGAAATCTGCTACCGCGCCACGAGTCCACCATGGGTCCCAGTTTCGGGGCAAGTTTGCCCACGATGCATTGACGCGCCTCACTGCGCCCATCGTTTCGCACATGTTGTGCAGGATGACGCCACAAGACGCCCCTGCAAGAATGCGCCAGAGCTTGCAGTCATTGCGGCCCGCGAATAGACGCCACCGGCCTTTGAAGGCGCCGATGCAGCTTCTACTGCCATGCGCGTTGCGCTTTGGCAATAGTTAAAGCACTGCTCCTAGTCATCCATTAGGCCTTCACGGGGTGCATGTAGGGGGTTCAGGCAGAAGTCCCTGAGTGGGTAGGCAGCATCTCCCACTTATTGGTATGGCGCTATGTCGCCATTGTGCAACCTTTCGTGTAACGCGCTGTTCATGAACACTCCCTGATCGTGCGCACTGCCAGGGTATCCGATCAAATGGTCCCATATGATGCCTCGCGCGTCGCATGTGAGTTGCAGCTGGATGGCGTAACATGACTTCCGCGTGTAGTACTCTTGCCTGTGCCCCTCCATCCCCTTCATGGGAATGTGTGTGCCGTCTATAGCCCCCACTACCGCAGGTACCCCCTTGATGGCGCGAAACTCCTCGGCCATCTCATCGAGGTCGTCACGGGTCGGGAAGTGGACCCACTGCTGCTTGAAGACGGACGGGAAATGCATGAGGAGTGCGTCAACAAGCATGTGGCACAGGGTCTTGGACAGCCCGAACACCGACGACAAGTCTACGAACGACATGCCGCTGGCCAGGTATTTGATAGGGACAAGGCATGCCACTTCGTGACTGATGAGGTACCTGTCCACATACGGCTGCATGTAGTGCGCCATCCCGGCGACAATGTATTCAAGAATAGCTCGGTTTATGCGAAAAAAGTCTCTGAATTGATCCTCCCCCATGCCTTCCAGGTCCTCTAGCAGCAGGTGGTATCTCCGCCGGCGTAGCCCAGCCCTTCTTTTCCGCTTGGCGGTACGGTTAGAGCCGTGAGAGCTAGATGACGAGGGCACCTCGTCGGCGAAGACGTTCGCCTCCAGCAAGCCACCGACCGACTTGGCGATGGCGTCCATGAAGATGCTGTAGTAGAACGTAACCCAAGCGACAAGCAGTCGCATGAGGAATGGCACCTCGCGGGGCGATGCCATGGTTGCTAGACAGTGGTGCAGTTTAAGACTGTGAAGCTTGTGTATTTGTACTTGGAGAAGTAGTTGTATACATGCTGTTGTGTGTGGGGTGGTCCAAACAGGGCCCGACTCGCCCAATTTGCAACTTCCATTACTGTGGCAAGCCCCCCGCGATAATCGCGGTGGTGTGATATGTTTAGGCACCCTGCCCGGCGGGAAAACTGGGTGGGGACGATCCTACTGGTCGCAACCAATCGTACGCACCCACCTGGCCGTGCCCATCTGTCGCGCAGGGTCGCGATACATTGGTTGTTTGTGACACAGCATTTGGCAAATTTACGGGCGACTCAGGAAAATGGGGATTGAGACACAAATGTCCCCGCAGGAATGTACCCTCAGTTCTTCCCACCGAACGGTCCATTTCCCATCAGCCTACCGTCAACACATCCACTGTCCAGGGTTGGAATCTTGGAGATGGTATCATCCTCATCCTCAAAGCTCGGGCATACTATGATCATGAGAGTCCTGAGGTTGGTGAGGCTGGTAATAGTCTTGGGCAAGGAGACCAAATTGGGCAAAAAACTTAAAGTCAGCCGCTGCAGCCGTGAAAGATTCTCAATCTTATCTGATAGCGAAGAAAGAATAAAAGGGCCAACCAGAAAGAGCGATGATAGATTCGAGAGCCGGAAAAGAGACAACATGAAGGTTTCTTCATCCTCGCTGCTGGCCCTGCAGTTGGCTGGCCAACCAAACTCAAGCTCTGTGAGGCTGGTCCAAAACCGAGGCAGACATGGATAGACTACAGGAATGTTGTCACAGTGATTGAAGGACAAGTTGCGGAGATTGGAGAGATTGGAGAAGGAACCCGGAATGTGGGTAATGCTTCTGAGTTGGCACAGCTCGAGACGCTCCAGAGACGATAGGCGACCCATGCTTTCTGGAAGGACCCCGAGCCTTGGACAGTTTCTGATGACCAGCACACGGAGGTTAGAAATACTGCAGAGGGAGTCAGAAAGCGTAGCAAACTCCTGGCAATTTCTGATTGTTAGCGTTGTGAGAGAAACGAGGCCTGACACAATGCTTGGAAGCTCTTCGAAGCATTCACATTTGACAAGCTCAAGAACTCGGAGAGAAGTCAGTTGGAAAAAGGAATCTGGGAGTTTGGTAAGGGCGGAGTTGGTTTTGAAGTGAAACTCTTGGAGGTTCTGAAGCTCGCTGATAGTGTCAGGGAGAGCCTCTAACACCTCCATTTCAATAAGGCTGAGTCGGACCAGTGACTTCACATCACACCAGGCGTCCGGTAGCTCGTCGAAGGAATGCGAATAACTCATCTCTAGACCAGTCAGTCCGGTGAGCCGGCCAAATGAAGGTGGAAGGGCGTAATTCCACGAGTAGCGAATTTTAGCTTCGTCAGGGACCTTAAATTATCGAACAGATCAGGAATATCTTCGACACTCACGCGCCACTTGACCTCTTTCAAGGATGTTAGGCTGAAAAAGGATGGTGGCAAATCACATTCTTCAGTATCGCAGGCTGCCCTTATATCAAGGGAGAGGTACTGTAACGCAGTGCACGCTGTGAAAAGGGCATCCAAGCCTTCATACATCACTCCTTTTTCAAACCCGTTGTTCAGGTCAAGATGAATTAACTGGGGAGAGGCAGCTCCCAGGCCACGGATGAACTCGTCGTTATCCGGATCGCTAAAGAACTTGTTGAACGTGAGAGAAGTCAAGCCTTTGAAATGGGAGAGAGATTTTAAAAGATTAGCATCCACTGTAAGGCAAGGCGGACTGTTGGCGATGGACGTCTGTGCAAGGTAAGCGAGGCGATTCCAACGTTTAAAGACCAACGCATGATTGAAGTAGCTGGGTGACTGCTTGTTTAGGCAACAGAAGATGAGGCAGATGAGCTCGTCCGGCAGCTGATTAAACAACGCTCGCAACATGACTCTATCGCGATGCGAGTCCAGGCGTGGCAATTATATAGTTCTATCAACTACAAGGAAAGAGGTGGGGAACACACAGCTGTCTTGCGTGAATGACGTTGGCTTAGATCTTAGGGACGGGAGTGCTTTCAGGCCTAGACATTTCCCTCGGTTTCGTTCTGCTGCCTCTCAGATCTGCTTCGAGGAGAACCTTTGAAGGTCGTACCTTGCGAGTGCGGAGAGACGTGCTTGTTGCCTTTGTTTATAGGCTCACTTCGGCTTGTTGTTCGGCTTATGACGAAACCAAGCGCGAATGGCGTAAGTCGTCGAGTGGAGCTCGCGAGTATCGTAATCCGTTTCGTCAACTCCAATCCCCGTGGAGAAGATTTCGAAGCATGCTGCGCATGATGTTACCATGTGGTGCCACCATCAAGTCTCGAAGCTGCCAAGCAAGGTGAAGAACTGAACCCGGTAACAAATTGGACGAAATCAACTCATCCTTAGTCGTCGAAACTGAAATCTTCACCCATCCCTCCACCTTCTTTCCCTCGCTCGCAGCCCAATCCTAGCTGCTTTGTTCCCGCTTCAAGCACCACTGCTCAATTTCGAAGAGGAGAATGGTGGACATGAATCATGGCGATGCACGGACGTGGTTATCCGATCAGGTGCAGGGATTTTTCCCGGCCTCCTCGGCCAAGCCCCCGCTACTCCTGGAATTCGCAACTTCAACTATTTCTGCATTCTGTTAGAGCCGGAATACACATTCAAGGCGGCTTGAGAAAAAAAGTATAACCTAGCCAATCCAGCAGGTCTAGCCATCTCGTTTCTATATTCGCCAGCTGTCTCCTCCAGTAGTCTTTCTTCTTTAACGTCTTTGCAACTTTGAGAATAAGTCTGTTCAGATAACGCCGTTGGGAAATTCCGGTTCAGAAAACGCGGCTACAAATCTTCACTAGCTATCCAAGATAGCGTCAGCCTTTTTCCCCTGTCTACAAAATTCGCGAGGCCACATCCCATGCCCGAATCTGGGTGTTCCCCAACTATGCGCACTCACCCTTGCACGAGCAATGAAATAGTTCACTTGAAACAGTGTTTAGGAGGGGAAACAGTGCTGAAATATTGCTACGCTTGTCAGAAACTGTCCCCCCTTCCCCATTGTCTCTGCAGGTCGCAACGCAACGAACCAGCACTACACGTGCCAATCTGGTACAGAGAATTACCTTCGGTTCTGCTAGATGTAGAGTGGTGCAGCGAGCGCACCGAAATTCCATGATCCTGGGATCTGAGTTCGTATTTGCAAAAATTCCTCGGCGTTATCGCAGACACATCTATAGCGAGATATTTACAAGATAAGGGTTGCTGACGCGTCAAAAACAGTCTCACTCAATTGGTGCGGTGTCACAATTGGATTTGACAGCCCAGTTTGGTTTGGACTTCAGTGGCGAACAGAAACCAAATGGCCTAAGGTTTCCGTTATTCGCCAAGCTTCGTGATGATTCGTCTGAGCCCACAGGTTCTGTACATCCCAACTGTCCAGGGTTTCGACGACCTCGCAAAACAATTCGCCAACATTTCGACAATCGTCACATGCGACCCAACACCTTCAAACTCTATCCTGAGCACGGCACTAGCTCGTTTTTACTTGCCTTGATTTCCATGCTCCATCTTCTCTGTTCACGCTCTTCACTTCCCTCCAGATATCGCAGGAGAGCTATGGCTGACGTTGTTTAGAAACGCATCGCGATAAGCTACCGTCTCACTAAGCTTCCATGCCCCGTCTTCCCTGTTGTCCTTCTTACACTCTCTTTCCACCAGATATCACAGGACTGCAGTGGCTGTCGATATTCAGAACTGC